ATTCGGAAGCAAAAGACTGATACGGACGGCCGTCATTGACGCAAACGCGAACACACCCTTCTGTCACTCGGCGCTTTGTCGGACGATCCGGGGCCACAGCTGAAAATTCGTCAAGAGTACGCTGACGTTTTCGGTTTGTGTCTGCTCCGGTGCAAAAAACCTCAAGGTGGCGGTTAAGATTTGTTGTTCCAGAAAGTGAACCCTTCTCACTACGAAGACGTACAACGGTTTTAGAGCACCGAGTGCAGACACAAAATGCCGTTTCGTCTCCAAAGAAATCTGTCAAAATCATGAACTCCTTCCATGCCGGACTGGTAAGAGTTGTAGGGGGCGCCCGGGTCACCAGCCCATCTTTCTCCAAAAGCTTTAAGGCCTTCTTCAATGTCAACGAAACACTGTTCTCGTCCTCCTCACCAACCATATCGTGGTTGTGAACCGCTATCGTTCTAATCCTGGGCTGGGTCTGATAGCACTGGTAAGTCGTCCTCTTCATCAGCATTGTCAGCAGCGGCCCCAGGTCCTGTGAACCGATAGACCTGGCCAGTTTGAATAGGGGAAACTTGGCGTCAACGTAGCGTAGGAGCGGGCCGTTTGCGACGAGCAGTTGCCGTTCCTGTTCTCGTTGTCCGAGCTGTTTGCGGTCTCGTTGGTGGAGGCATGAAAATTTTTACTACAAGGGTTCCAGCGTCCGAGCTTGCATGGGCAGTGGGTCGCATGGGTATTGGCAAATTACCCAAACCCACGACAATTCCGTTTGGGTGACCCATGCAGCACCCTGCTGAGCTGCGGACCGTGGTCTTGACATTAATTGCCGCTACAACGGTGTGTCACGAGTAAGGCGATCTTTCGACAAAAACAGTTTACTTTGAATCTCAATATGGCGATCACAACTACTGACGAGTCAGTTTATGCGCCTGAAGCTTGAATCAAACAGTGAAATGCAAGGTAGTTGCACTTGTGCAGATCGCTTGAAATCTGGTAATGAGCTTGTATAGTGTCTAGCAGAGAGTCAAACTATATGGGTCGGGATATCAAACGGGCCACAGAAGCGTGTTGATCAATACCAAAATGCGATCAAACAACGGTCAGTATCTCAAGAAGGCGAAAAGGTTGCACATCAAACGCCGTGCAATGGGTGATGGTAAAAGCATGACCCAAAATCGTGTCTAGAAGCGTAGTTGGTGCATTGAGTCTTGCTTTTGCCGACTTCTGAGATTGTATGTTGTCCATTGAGTGGCATGCTGAAGCCATTGTGAATTATGACGTGCAATACATATTGGACCGCACTTCGGGTAATAGTGAATTTGCAATGAAGTTGATGTCTTGAAAATAGAAGCGGGTTGCGCTTGTGTTGATAGAGAGACATAGTGTGAGCTCTTGATAATCTTGATTTGCATTTGATTTCTTAAGACTAAGTAAACCTGAGCGTGGTAGTCCAAGTTGACCTGTAGTTAGCAATGATAGTTTTTAAAGTTAAGTTCATAGCCTTTATATAGCTTCGAGACATGGAGAGGATACAGCGAAAAAAATTAATGAAGAACGTTGGAGAAAGAAGTTCGAGCTTTGTGAGCAAATTTCTAGCAAATTTCACGTGTCGATATCAGTGTTGAATGAGAATATCACCCATAGCAATCTCTTGCGTTTGACGCGTAGGATGTCAAGTTTTGCGCGGGCAGACTTATGATGCATAAATTGCCTTGTCTTACATGAAGATTTTGACCGGTGCGGCCGAATAAGGTCGGTTAGTCGAAGCTAATTGATTCTAATTCGTCGCAAAATGGAACTACTGTACAAAGTGGACAACCTCTTTATAGAGCCATCCAGTACCACGGCTGATCAACAAAGGAAGGCGGCATCCAATAAATATCATTACCCAACCTGGACCCAAACTTGTGCTTTCTTGTTCCTTAGCCTGTCAGGTTTGCTGAACTTTCTATCAGCTATTCTGAATATCCCCTGATAAATTGGCCGCCGGGCTCAAGTGCCATAGATCTCAACCTTGTCGTCGACACCACATCACTGCTGGTGGTATATCCTGTAGTGTAGATAGAGCAAAAGTAGATGGAGATTTGGGTGTTGTCGAGAAGTAGTTCAATATTGCTATTATGGAGCGCTGAATGGCTGAAGAATTTAAGTCGAATTCTCAGATGCATAATGTTCTGCGTGAAGACCACATTTTACTTTATTTATTAATTGTATCGATTTGCATGTGTTGCGCTCGATCAAACTGTGTAAACTGCAGTTACAAGGCGTGATGTCGTACAAAACCGTGCAACGTCAAAACTTCTCTGTTATCAAAGTGCTTAGTTTGATGATGATGCACGAAGTACACATCAGCGCACAATATTGCAGGTTGCATTGAATACATGCCGTTGCACTGTCAAGTGTTGTAACTGAACATAGACTGCCAAACAAACGTTTCAACAATGTATCAGTTAAAAATGCTTTTTCTTATTTTGTGATGACCAATGAATAGTTTCAAGAATGAACTTTGTAAAAGGTTGAAGAAACACCTCACAATTGTGGAATGACAGCCGCAAGCCTAAAAAGCTATTGAGCATCGTTTACGTTCGCGCATCCATGTATGCATGCTTCTTCTTCGCCCACTAACAGCGCATTCCGTACGAGCTTCCTCATGCTTCCCGACTTCCTAGCTGTGTAACCTTGCCTCGCATACTATTGTCTGAGTAATTTAACGTCTCTTTAATCTGCGTACTATTCTAGTCGTCTTTTTCAAAACACTCTTCTTTCCACAGCTAATGTCAATTGTGTTATCCATTGGAAATTATATATCGAATCTCAAGGGTCGTGTTGTTGACACAACGGAAGAAGAAAATAATATTTTACTTGCCTATCATACACAACTGACTCATGTATCTGCATCCACATTAATGTCTCTAGCGCGATCAAAAGAGCTGAGCTTTAAGTCGATATGTTGGATACTTGGGTAAAAAAATCGCAAATATTTGGGTCGTTTAGCAAACCCAATAGTCAAAGCCGACCGAACTGCAATGTTCGGTTCTTCAGGGTACCAAGCTTCCACCTTTTGTTGAGATAGCGTGTGAGTTACATTTGATCGATTTGTGTAAGGCACACGAAGTCGCTCGATAACCGAGCCCGAGCATACTGGGAGTACGTGTCGATCTTGGTGATATATAAAGTGCCACATATCTACCGTAGGAGTTAAGCGGTAATTTGAAGCCTTGGGGCGCTGGTAGTTATATACTCAACTTTGTCTTTAAGAGTAATGTTACAAAGTCACGGGTGGACAGGTTGATGACCAGCTTGTCTTCGAAACACCATCTGTGATTTGTTTACTCAATTCAAAGGGAACTAGTCGGCTCGTTAAAGGTCGTCTGGGTAAGTAGAAGAATGTGTCGGACACTAGCTGTGTCCCCAAAGCAGGTCGTGAGATATTCCACATGAAGTAAACTTCGTTGTAATTCTTGTGTTGCGAGGCGCCTATAGCACTCCCTATAGTCTTGTAAGCAGTTAATCACCAAGTCGAAGAAACTTATTACTTCTCGAATGCTCTCGAAGCAATGATAAGTTTTTCTTGACTTTGGACAATGGGTTCTTAGCCCTGCCAAAGGTTGGAGTAAATTATTCTTTTTAATGGCATGACTTGCACCAAGAGTTTCCAGTCTGTGGAACCATGAGTGATGTGCAGTCTCGCCCGTACACGTAATGCAAGCTTTCAATAATCAAAAGGTTCATTTCATTCCCCTTTATGCCTGCGTACACATTGTCGAAGCCAGTACCGAGGGAGTTTGATGTGCTTTTAGGAAGTAGAGTGTCGGAATAGATGAGGAATTACATTCAATTTGCATGTTGAGGCAATAGCATTTCTTGATGTCTGATTGTACATACTTTTAAGAAAGGCTTTGGCATATGTCAATTCTAATTCAGTATACAAGTTCTTGTATAAATCTATTTTTTTGTAAATTTCCCCGTAGTAGCAGAATTACTATCCGTATTGTTTGAGTGGACAGAGCTGCGGATGATGACGTTAACAGATGTCAGAAGATCACATCGTTTGCGTGCAAAAACACCGGTACATGGTACTTTGTAAGTTCACCACTTTGTCTCGCAATGTACATACACGGTACTTCCGTATGGCACTGAATTGTTACTTAGATTTCACAGTCGCGCCTTGTCGTAACCCTTACAATACCACATTGTTCGACTACTATGAACCTTTGAAATGTGTTAGAGCACATAGTCTGATGATTTTTGAAGAGCCGATTTGATGAGTAAAAGGCATGAAGCAAATCTTATTCATGTTTCGTTTTAACCCTGATGCAAATGCGTAATCTTGTATCACACACAAATATATGTTGTCCACATAAGCCACGAGATTGGTGCAGTCATCTGCAATAGCTATAAACAAATGTAGAGATGGTCCACTGTCAATATCCAGTTCGTATTCGGAAACCCTAGCGCTTAAGTAGTTTCATAAGCAACGCAAACGGGTAGTGTAACGCGTTGTAGTACACCGATTCCGGTAAAAATGGATTATCTGGTGGTTTATATAAATTGTGAATGTTTTGATTTCATCTCAATGGGTTCTGCTAAACTTAAATGATAAAAAACCATGTCCAATGCCGGCAATGGCACGCTGCCAAAGATTAAGCAAAATTGCTCAATTCGGTGCGTTCGTCGGTTTAAGTATTATTGCAGGATTCTTGTTAGCCTCAGAATCGAACATCATAGTGACGAGCCGGTCTGCTGGGTACGAACCCACTTTAATCTTTAGGTATTCGCGAAAAATTATTAATCTTCAGCCACCGCGCAAGCGTCTTGAGACCATTTGAAGCATCAAAGTTTAGCAGAGTCAGGGAGCGATACTTACAAGGCTATGATCTCTCTCCATTCTTGTATAGCAGCGAAAGTGTGCCAATCGTTTAACCTTAGTCATCTTTCTCTTGAGTAACTGATTGTCGTGCACGTGTGCCCAGAAACGGAATTGTATAGTACTTGATTGGTAGTTCTCCGGACCCAAAGGATTTTTATTGGTGTATATCATGATCGTCCAGTTCAAATCATTTGCCGTGATGGGTCCATCGAGCAAACATCGTTGGGCAGGCGTCAGCTTAGCCGCTTATCGGCTGTAGCATTCATGTAACGGGGTTACACGTACCCTGGTAACAGGGATGTGTGTCACACGACATGGGCATGGTGCGACTGCACCCAAATAACAATACGGTATGTGGCTGGGTAGCAAGTAGTTATGCATAAATTTAGATTTTGCTATATATATTTAGAAAAATCTATACATTTAAATTAGGCGGCTTTGCCGCAGATAAAATAAATAAAGTCAGTTTTTGTGATTTAAACGGAGAGTTAATTAGCCTTGTGTAAGGCAATAACTACTCTTGGAGTAAGCAGATTGCGACCCGGTAACTCGTACTTGTTTTAAGTATAGAACGAAC